AGTGTTATTATGGGTTCACCACACCACGAAGTGGTGTGGTGAAACCATATTGCTTTTTCTGATGTTTCTTCTTCTTCTTCTCCTCCTTCTCCTTCTCCTGCCATTTTTTAAATGGATTCAGCTTCTTCATTTTAGGGCCTAAGGTCCTGAAATTTTGGTATGGAGGTACAGTGGGCCAAAATACCCCTTAGGCATTTTTTAAAATTATTGTAATACAGGCATTTTAGAATGGTTTTATTTGAGTTTTTTGGCTGTGTTATAGCAAATGTATTACTGTGTTAGTCTGCCTTGTTTACCACGTTTGGGCATGAGTCATGACAATGGAATGCAGGGCATCAACCAATAGGCATGCAGCTTTCCTCTATACTTCTTGCTGATTGGCTGTTGGGATTTAACTTGATTAACACCTGCACAGAAGCATTTCCATACTGACAGTATGTCTGTATTCAAGTGTTTTGGTAGGTATTTCAAGCTTTCCTGCTCCAGCATTGGAATGCCGGGCATGGACGTTTTTTTTTATTTTGAAAATCAACAGTTTGCATTATGCAATTAAAAATCCTAACCAATAAAGTAGGGAATAGCTATCCAACTATTGTTTTAGTTGTATTTTACTTCATATTATAGTTATATCAATGTAAATCATTGTTTTCCCTTGTGTTTCCCATTCTTTCCCTGCCATGTCGTAAAATGTGGTGAACCCATCGCTGTATTTGCTCCAAAGCAAATATTGGCCTTTCTAGTTTCTAAATGTTTTCCGTGCAACTTATGGTATATTTTTGCACGATTTACAGTATGGTTGAAAACTTTTTTTTTTTTGGAAACGGCCGAAAATTCATGCGCGCGCGGATGTCATCCATATAATCAAATCAACATGGCCTAACTGCAATTTTGAAAGTAGACTGAAGTATATTACACTTCCATTTTTTTCAAATATTAAGTTCATGAATTATTGGTGTAAGATAAGAATGTTACGCAATGCCCTGGCTCTCATAGAAAATGTCAGATTATGATATAATGCTGTTCATTCATAACAGTCTGGGTTTTGAGTTACATTGCAAATGGCTATATTTTTGTTCTATAGACAGCTACATTGTACATGTATATGTATATGTAGTAGTTACATGTACATGTACATATACAAGGACAATGTGACTTATCGTACTGTGGGTCCTTTGAAGATACCAGCGATACCCAACACTATATTTGGTTAGACTATAGACACTGTAGGTCCCTCTGTGGCAAAATCGAACCTTTCAACCAGCGTTTTAAGTGTCCTTCAAGTATGACCTTTGCCTGCAACTTTACTCCTGAATGTCACCCTCAGATTTAACCAAGGTTGTAGGCACCCTTACAAGTCTACATGTGTTTATTTACTCTTTGGTTATCTCACCATTTAGCAAATGCCAACAATTGCACATAATTGTTAAACAAACTACTGCCCTTTCCTGGGTTTGTTTCGCCAATGTCAGAAAACACAGACCAGGATTGTTTCAGATGCCACATTCCAGGGGACATTCTAGTGCTACCTACTTGATTGCTGATAAAATTTTAGGTCAGATTAGTTCTCTAAATGATAAATTGTAAACTGGTTTGTGTTGACTGACGTGAAGGTCAGGTTTCTAAAGTATGTGTCAGAATGAGGAAGGAAGGCCTTCCATTGAAATCTATAGACTGAACAATGTTTAGGTCTGGACTGTGTATATGTACATGTAGAAAGTATATCAGAAATGCAGTGTTTCCTGTTTCAGTCATGAAAAAATTATGGTCGGTACAGGTACTACCGAGGTAGGGATAATCTTATTTTTAACGTTGGCAATCTCTGGTGATCCAAATTTTACAATACAGGTTAAAAAAAGTAAAACTTGCATGAGGACACTTAAATTTTCAATGTCAATGTTGGAAAACCGATTGTAAAATGTTTCATCACTCAGGTGTCAGATCATGGGAGCTACATGTAGGAAATGTAAAAAAAAATTACGTCCCTTGCAGGGGTCCGCACACACAAAAAAAGGACTAGGGTCAGCAGTTTTTTATAGGGTCGATCGGGAAACAGGAAACACAACATTTTTTTCCTAGGCCAGGCCAGATTTCCTCTCAATAATGCCCGTTCATCTGTAACAAAGGATCTAAAAAAAAACAACCTTCCCCACCCAAATGGGCCACTGTTACATCATGCCAGGTAACATCATAAAATATTCATAACTGAATGAAATTTCTGCAACGCTACCCTCATGAATGGATTTGGTAAGTATTACGTAAGGTGCTCCTACCTTTGAGGCCTGTGGTGTTTTGGCGATGTGATGGGTGGATGGCTTGACCCCGTTGGCTGCCGCTCGCTTGAATAATGTGAAGCGTGTCTTGCGACGACCCTTCTCTCCATACGGAAGTGACCCATTGTACCTGGAAGATTAATTCAAAGTCTACATACGTAGAATACAAATTGTACAATCCCACTGGTGGTATTACCATTACAAATGTACTACATTCAGTGTACAAAATACTTTTTTGAACTGGGTTTTGAACGCAGTGGGCAACCTACGGCAACTTAGGTACATGTAGGTTGCAAAATTCTGTAGGTTGCCCATCAGAATTTTAGGTTGCCCCACCTATAAAACATTTAAAATTAAAAGTTACTACTTTCAAGTAAGTACTGTTACATACAGCCTTTGACCATATTTCTAACAGTCTATAGTTAATTGATACTAGTAATAGCCATTAATACCTAAAATTAAAAAGCATCTGCCGGATTCAGTGGTGCAAGCCAAGTGGGCATGATTTTTTTTTTGGGGGGGGGGGCTTCGTAAAATTCACGTAGCACACTGGGCTACCTTGGTTTAAAAATAGGTTGCCCCAAGTAAAATTTGGTTGCCCAGGGCAACCAGGTATTTTGCATGCTGTAACATGTACTAGCAATAGTACAGGGCAAACATCAGGAATACCTGTACTCAAACTTTCAAAAGTTGTGCAATACACCATTGAAAGTCTAGCACTTCTCAATTAAAATCTGAGAAAAATCAGTGCAATTCTTGTTGAAATTAACGAATTAAAACTGCATGTAAAATGTGTGGGAAGGGATTTAATCTGAGATCTGTACTGTTCATAGCCGACAGGACCTACCCAAGTACTACAAGTTCTCCGTATTTGAGCAGCGCCTTTTCGGGTGATGATGGTACCTCTCCGTTCTCCTCTGTGCTCATGTATTGGGCCTCTGTCTTCAGTTTCTTTGCTTCACAGCGTTCACTGTCACTTCTGCCAACAAACACGAGGAAAAAACTCAATTCAATACACATTGTCAACTGCACCAAGAAATATTGTAGTAGCAGGACTCGAAATACTGGGTGCATGTGCACCTTAGTGCACCCAATTTTTTTTTCTGTGGGTGCACTGGTGCAACCAAATATTTTCTAGGTTTAACGTATGTAAAGATATTGAATGTACTAACAGTTGTTACAGCATATTCTTAACATCTAAGAGTCAGAAAAAATAATACAATCATTGTTATAGTACTTTTCTTGAAATGAAACATAATTACAGTTTTTGCTGATATTCTACTTATTTTATCCTATATGGTGCACCTAAAATATTTTTGTGCAGGTTAGGTGCACCAGTGTACCTATTCCCAAAAATGAATTTCGAGCCCTGAGTAGACCACTGAGTAGGCAACAGTTACTATGAATATAAAACACACACAAGAAAAATCATATATTGACCATATAATTTAGAGCATTGGGGAAAAAAGAAGGATATAAAAACTAGGTACACAAAAACTTTTTTGGGTGTACCATATAAGATGAAAACTAATCATGTTTCATTTCTAAAGAAAAAAGTATTAACAAATTTAACAATGATTTTATTATTTTTCTGACACTTAGATATTAAGACTACATGTACACTGTATGCTGTATATACTACTATACATTTAACATGTTTACATATGTAAACCTACGAAAATATTTGGATATTTTGAGCCCAGTATATATATATTTAATTTATAATATATATGGTACATACATTGTACATCATAGAATATGAATTTATGACATCATTCCTCATCACTTGCAAATTTCCCAGTGAACTGTGAACTATTTGAGCAGCAGCTACTCCATACATGTTAAGTCTAAGTGACAAATGTTGCACAGTAGCCATGCAGTGGACTGTGCAAATCCAATAACAACAGCCAAGGGAACCGGACCCAATGGGCCAGGGCATTAGTTACCATGGCGATGGCACTAGGGGTCAACAACCCTCACTACACTAAATTGATCCTTTATTTACTGGACATGTTTCAGAGACTCAATCCTAGCTGCCACCATCTAACATCAGGGCTGGAAATACTGGGTGCATGTGCACCTTAGTGCACCCAAATTTGGAGTTGTGCACCCATTTTTTTTCTGTGGGTGCACCAGTGCATCCAAATATTTTCATAGGTTTAATGTATGTAAAGATATTAAATATATAGTAGTTACAGCATAAGTGTCAGAAAAAATAATAAAATAATTGTTATAGTGCTTTCCTTGAAATGAAACATAATCATAGTTTTTATAGACATTCTACTTATTTCATCTTATATGGTGCACCTAAAATATTTTTTGTGCACCCAATTTTTTAGGTTGGGTGCATCAGTGCACCTACTGTATTCCCAAAAATGAATTTCGAGCCCTGAACACACTTTTGTGTTGAATACAGAACAAAGCTGGTTCAAAATGGCTGTCAAGACAGCAAGTCATCCAACGATGGTACAGAACTCAAGAAACATTTTGCACCATTGCATTCTCATTTTCTCTTGGTGTGATCTAAATCTAGTGTGATCTACTTAGATGGAATGATGATAAACATGCCTGATCTTTAATAGATATGAAATTTTTGAAAGTGAAATTGCTTAAGAAAGGAGCTGAATTGTAAAATTAATTACTAACACTCATTATCCTGTTTATCGTAAAACAGAAAATAAAATTTCCCTTCAATTACAGGCAATAACCAATTTTCAGTCCATTTGAAAATGGCATCCATCTGCAGGCCTTATTATTTTCCCACCACAAAATTTATGCATACAAAGGATATACATATAATGTACAGCTAAGAATATACATATTGAATGATACACACATGTACTTGTAATATGAACATTTTCCCAGATTCTACATGGGGCCCTCTACATGTACCTGCTTACGTTTTTATAATTTTGTAAAACATGATTTTAGACAAAAAATTAGGTATCATAAATTGGCCAGCCTTTGGTGTGATGGAGAACCACATTTTGCCTCTCATTTTTAGTGCAGGAAAATGTGTTATTGAAGGTTTAAAAATCAATTTCCCCCTATCCCAGATTGCCCCGTCTTCAAAAATTTGGCATGAAGTTGAACCAGGGTTGGCAAGAACGCTGGCTTCAATAATCATTTACCAGTTTTAACATGTTCGTATATCAAAATAAAATACTACATGTAGACGTTACAAGGCATATATAGCCTTTTTTAGTAGTCGCTAGTTTTTCTCGTTTTGATATGCATCAGCAACAATTCTGGCTTTTACAATAATACATCACTTCCTACTGGCTACTTTAATCTGTAAATGGCACTTTTTACTTAACTTTACAATTGTCATGATTTACAAGAAAAATTTCTGGGGAGAGGAGGGCCATGGAAACATATTTTTAACCCAGCCCCCTGACTGCCATACCATAATACAGTTCAGTGTACTGCATATTGGTAACAGTTTGTAATCTTGCCTCTTATCATCATCAACTAAATCCTATCCGCCGGCGTGACTTCATTTAGTAGTCTGTGCCAACCTCCATGCCAACTGACCCAGACTGTCCTTGTATCGGCTTGTGATTTCCATCGCACCGCTGACGCGTCTGTGCATAGCCTGATGAGCAGACAGACAGGCAGAAACTAGCTACATGCAACACTTCTACAGACTCATTTCCCCAATAAATGGGACCTTCTATCAAAAGCACACATCACGTTGCCCCCCTAATTCAATTCAATCAGGTAGAGATGCTGCCAATGCCTGGCTTCATTTCAACTCTGAATAATTGATGTGCTTATGAATTATGGGTCTACACAACCTGCAAATGGTAATATGGGGCCGGCAGCACCACCAATGAGGTCCCAGCCAGACACACGTTCCTGGAAGTACTAAACACCTTCCAGGAACCTCAAAATATTGGAAAATGGACTTGCTTGGCTGATATCTGGAAGTAGGACAAATGAAGACGTAGGGCTATTTTTAGGTGAAGACTGGTGGGGAGAGTGTTGCTATGCATGGTAATGTTGTGATGGTGCAGTTACCGCTACGACATTCATACACCTTTTTCACAAGCAAACAATGCACAGAAAAAATAGGTCATCGGGCATCCAACAGTGAGCAGTGCACATAATGCCGGCTGCAATGGCTGATATTCCCAGACAGAAAAGGGAATCATTTTTTTGAGCACGGTAACGCAACGGGCATAATGTCCGAGCTTCTATATCAATATGCACGGGAAATCAATCAGATGTCCCACATCAGCTAACATAAGGGTTACACAGCCGTGGAACATGTCGACGGAAGAAAGGGAAAATGCCCGCATACGAACATTTGTCTGGTGTGCATTTCTCCCCACCTCCTCTCCTCTTCCACGTCTACGTGCCACAGGACCGTGCCGCTGTATTCCAGGTGCTCGCCGGGCCCGGAGTACGGAATTGTGTCCTCATCTTCGCTGTGTTGCGTGGACGTCTCCTCCATTAGCACCCAGCACTGTTGTTGACCATGATACCACGCACCCTGCATGCATAATGAACATCAGGCTGCCTGATGGTTTATCCCTGACAGGAGGCCCAAAGTCCTCGGGGATTTGGCTAGACTCTAATTTTCGGCATCAGCTGCTTTGTTCTTGGGACACAGTCGATTTTTCCATTAAGGCCCCACTGAAGCCTAGATATATAAGGTGATTACTGCTTGGCAAAATGAATTTGCCTGGGTAGCCCCTACTGTTTTGTAAGCATACAATTCTGAATGCAAGGTAAGATGTTGTCTGCTTTGCCATTTCAACATCCTCCTTGATGCTGAAGCTTTCAAAAAGAGATTTGACAATCAAAACGATCGAGGGCAAATACATTATGCAGGCCTGACGTTGTTAGAACACTCTCCTCACATCAGCTCACAAAAACATTAGAGAGAAGAATGTAGTTATCCATGTTTGCTCCATTGCAGGTGCGATTCAGATCCCCACAGCGCTATAAAGCAGCCAACCAGGAAGGAGGAAATCGTTCATCATCATTCTTGAACCAACAAGGTCAAGAAATGCAAGATTAATTTTGACTCCCATAATCCGACGGCAAGTATAATTCATAACAATTCCAGTAATGTTGGCCGGTGGATGTGGCAGCCCCCCGATACATGCCACAAACATGCCGACTGCAAAACAATCTACACTACTTTCTCACAGATGTTCAGGAACTGATAGAAGCCATAATCCACCACAACATACATGTAAGATGCTGCATGAACTTAACATAACTCAATTTACCCAAAGTAATATAGGAGACCTCGCATCCCCCAGGCAGCCCACCACAAAATGGCTCTTTCTAATTCATCAGGATAGAAATTCCAATAAAACCACAGGAGATAGAGAAGACTCCTTTATATTTAGAACACCATCCATCATGAAGAAGACAGCACATCCCATCACACACAACCTCAGCCTAAATGAACTGTGACTGGGAGATAGGCAGATGGAAGGTCCTGGGGACTGCTAGCCTGGGTGCCAGACTGTTTCCAGGGCCTGAGTAGGCAGATGGAAGGTCCTGGGGGCTGCTAGCCTGGGTGCCAGACTGTTTCCAGGGCCTGAGTAGGCAGATGGAAGGTCCTGGGGACTGCAGCCTGGGTGCCAGACTGTTTCCAGGGCCTGAGTAGGCAGATGGAAGGTCCTGGGGGCTGCTAGCCTGGGTGCCAGACTGTTTCCAGGGCCTGAGCAGACAGATCGTAAGGTCATGGGGAGTGCTAGCCTGGGTATCAGACTGTTTCCAGGGCCTGAGTAGGCAGATGGAAGGTCCTGGAGTTTGCTAGCCTGGGTGCAAGACTGTTGGCAGGACATCATTACAAGCTACAATGTAGCTCCTTGCAATACTATTGGTCCCAGGGCTAACCTATCTCCAAGGAAATTTTATTATAGACTCCCCTCAGTTGATCTAGACCCCGGTGAGACCCTGGCATGGGTCTGACATCCAGACTTTAACTTATAACTTAGTATAAGGGATTCCAGAGAT